ATCAATCTTTTAATCAATCTGAGCCATTCATTTGATTAAAATCTGTGACCGCCATTTTTTCTACCCATTATAGGCCTAACTCTCTTGGGCTCTTATTAGTATAGTAGATAGTAGATATATATATATATATATATATATATATATATATATATATATATATATATATATATATATATATATATATATATATATATATATATATATATATATATATATATATATATATATATATATATATATATATATATAAGAGCGCTCATATGCGGCGGGGTCTTACGGTGCGGCGGTGCGGTCAAATTCCAGAATACACCAACAGTGTTAACAATATGCACCAACAGTGTAATAAAAACACACCCCAATGAAATGTAATAAAACATCACAAAATACACCACAGACTCAAAAAAAACACACCATATAACTCACCACCCCCAATGGTGTATTTCCGAACAGTGTATGGTGTTTTCACTCACACCTAATGGTGTGTGTTTGGTGATGCAGGGCTCTGTTTACTCTGTTTTGTGTGGTGTATTTCCTAACGTTGATGGTGCATATTTGGTGAACTATTGGTGTTGCCGCACTGTAAGAAATAACCGCACCGTAAGACACTGCCGCACCTGAACCCGCCTATATATATATATATATATATATATATATATATATATATATATATATATATATATATATATATATATATATATATATATATATATATAGTATTTTGTACACTATGAAAATATGTATGTTTCTTTATGAATTGATATTACTATTATAATTATTTTATATAGTGGTTACTCATTACAAAATTTCTTTTTAGGAATAAGGGTCAAATAGGCCATCGAACTGCACACGATAAAACAATTAGGCCACTGAACCTAAAAAATCAACAATTAGGTCCCTAAACTAATCAATTTCAAACAATTCTTCCAATTTGAAGGTTTCCAACAGGTCAACAGGTCATCTCCCAAATTAATTATTTTTTAAAAAAAAATAAATTTTAAAAATTAATTAATTTTAAATTAAATTAAAAAAAAAAAAAAAAAAAAAAAAAAACTGGAATCCAGGCTTTCTTCGTCTCCATGGCCGGAGACGAAGAAACTCTTCGTCTCCATGGCCGAAGACGAAGAAACTCTTCGTCTCCACTGCCGGAGACGAAGAAAGTTTCATTCTCCATGGCTGGAGAAACTCTTCGTCTCCATGGCCGGAGACGAAGAAACTCTTCGTCTCCGGCCGTGGAGACGAAGAAACATGCCGAAGATGGTCGTCTCCGGTCGGAACCAGTTTTTTTAAAATTTTTTTTTAAATTTAAATAATTAATTTTAAAAATTTAAATTTTAAAAAATAATTAATTTAGAAACATGACCTGTTGGAAACCTTCAAATTGGAAGAATTGTTTAAAATTGATTAGTTTAGGGACCTAATTGTTGGTTTTTTAAGTTCAGTGACCTAATTGTTTTATCGTGTGCAGTTCGATGGCCTATTTGACCCTTATTCCTTCTTTTTAAAATGAAAATGCTCATTTTCCCTCGTAATTTTTACCTCTAAACTTTTCCTCATAATGTGGCATACATTTATTGGGTGCGAATGAGTTTGATAACGCACCACTAACTAATAAATAAATTTAATTACCAAAATTGAAGAACTGCTAAACTAGTTGATTATGTTTAAAAGTGTTTGGTAAAATTAGCTTTTTGATAAGCTGATAAAAGTAAAAAGATTAAAAAGAACTATCTTCATCAAATTTAAATAGGTTTGTTTATATATTAAAAATGAGAACTATTAGTATCATAATCATGATTTAACATCCCATACCCCTTCATTTTGTAACTAGTCCTAGTCATTTAAATGAAGATGATGCTAGCTATGGGGTTTGAGCCCATGCGCACTTATGTGCAGAAGATCTTAAGTCTTCCCCCTTAACCTCTCGGGCAAACTAGCAATCAATTAAAAGTTGTGTTTGTTAAATTCTATACTTCAAGACGTTTCTGCTAAGGATATATATATATATATATATATTTGTTCCTGTGAGAACAAGTCTTCCCATGTGTCAGTGCGGCATATACCACTAGGTATGCATAAATGCACCATACATTGTTTTAGAATACACCATAATGAAATGTCAAAAAATGCACCCAAAAAAAAAAAAAAAAAAAAAAAAAACCACACCACATATAATATGTAGGTTCATTACAAAATACTATTATGTATTCGCTTATCGGGTGACGTAGAGATTCTACAACCCATTACCTTTGGTATGGCTCTGATACCAAATTGAAGCATGTTCTCCATCTCAACTAAAAACCTAAGCTGATAGTTGAATTGCACATTAATGATTATATACTCAATACAAATTAGGCCTTGTTTGGTAAAATAGTTAGCGTATAGGCCAATTTTGACTTATTTGATCACTATTAGCTTTTTGATTTGGTTAAAAAATTAATACAAGTGTTTTGGTTAATTAGCTTTTTGTAACTTCAAAATGCTAACATTCAAAAAGCTGCTCAAAGCACATTTTTCAATTAGCCTTTTGATAAAGAAAATTATACCTAACAGCTAATTTTACCAAACATCTTTCTACAATCAGGTAATGTTATCAACTAATTATACCCTCTAATTAACCCAATCAGCTAACAGCTAACAACCATTTACCAAACAGGACATGGCTTCAATTCCCACAAAATGAAGCAGATTCATAACATCGATCTTTGGCTAAGAAAAGTTCTCGCTATATTTTATTATTATTGTTACGTTACTTATATATCATATCATTCTTCAATTCTTCTTTTAAATATTACCTATTGAATTAGTGAGTTAAGCTCTGGCGTATCATATCATTCTTGTTTGTGATTAGAACATGTGCGATATATACAACCTTATGACTTTGAGTGGGGGCTGCTAACAAAAGTCAAAACCTTTTTGGAGATGGAGACAAATATTGTGATACAAATATTCAAAGGTTTTGCTGAGGAGCCAATCTGGATGGCCATGGCCATGGCCACACTACTACAGGCCTAACGTAATCTTAATTACAAGATTCTGGAGAAAACTAGTACACTTGTAAGCCACATGAAACGGAGATTTGCCAAACAATAATGAGAAGTCAATCAATACTTTTAAGAAATAATATTACTTGCACGGTGCACCAATATATAACTACCATAATTTTGATTAATTTATAGGCAATTATGAATAATTTGAATATAGAATGTTAGGAAAATTGTAATATGCATCGGGTACGGTCATTTTTTAGAATTTTTTTAATTAAAAAAAAAAATCGTGTGGGCAAGGTTCTAGAAAAAACAGAGGCTCGTCTCGCTGTGACCTTCTCTTAAATTCTCAAAAAAAACTTCTGTCGCGAGAAGCTCGGTCAGTGATAGTCTTCCCCCGACCGTATTCTGACTACAAAAGGATGCCCCTTATATCAAGTATAACTCAAAAGTGAATGGATAAGGTTTTAAATTTGTACCCAAAAACCTAAAACTTTCTTCAAAATTTCTTTACTACTATACTGATTGACGCCATAAACTTTCTGTTGGGTAGGGCCCGATAAAGGGGTCATGTCTAGTACCTGGTGACGGGGGGAGGGGGGGGGGGGGGTAGGGGAGATTGTTAGGCGGAGGTCGATAAAGCCGTGAAGGGCCAAGTCCAACCTCTCGAACAATGTGGTGATGGTCTATAAGGAAATAAGTTGCGTCTTATCTTCACTAATAGCTATACCTTTTAGCATACGCTTGATCCTAACACTTCTTTAAATGTCATACCGAGTAACATTTATTTTGGAGTATAATTTCTTTTACATAAATACGGAGTAACATTTTTAAAAGAAAAATTAATGAGTCTTTTTTTCTTTTTGAGTGATGAATGAAATTTGCAGTCACTATCCGAATGTGTATAAATCATACTAAGATATCCATGAGATGAGCTCAACCGAAATAGTGTTAACAAGAATCAAACTCGTGATCTTTTAATATGAGAATCATGCTCTATCTACTCGGTCATTACTTTCGATTTTTAATTTTTTTGGGACGGCGTTGTTGTACGTGGACGATCAAATGACAATTGTTTAAAGTGCGGGCAGGTGCAATCTAAAGCTGTTACTTAAAAGAAACTATCCTTAATGACAATGACTTGTAGCAACCTTGTCAAAAACATCGAACTTGGAAGTCCCATATTGTTTGGAACTTGGAACTTCTCCAATAAACGAAAGACAAAAGGAATGAATAAGTGGAGGAAAATGACTAACAATAACCTTTAATTTGACTGCATAGCCAACCATAATCAGACCCCACACATATACTTTTTCGATTGATTGATGAAAACATCTATAGTTACTATTTGAGAATTTACATTTGATAGATCTGAATTCTATTTAAATAGTTCATAAATTATATATGAGATGTAAACCGCACTAAGAAGACATACATGACTTTTATGTACAAAAATCATACTTCACTTAGATATTCTGAGCATATCCTAATTATATGAGGACTCAGACTAATCCCTATTTGCACTGGGCTGGCCCAATTAAGGGACAAACAGATTCATTTTTCTATACGAGAGGAAGTTCAAACTCCCGACCTCTCTTAAGGAATGAGAGTGCACGGTCACTCACGTCAACCAAGCTGGTGATACATGTGCATTGTTTATATACCCGTCATGAGTTATTAGCATGCAAAATTAACCCCAAAAAAAAAGGGTTTAAAAAATTGTCAAATTCAAGTGATCACTTAGTTGACTTATATTAACTAAATCCACCTGTTCAATCCTCCCACTTTATCTAATTGTGGAGTGTGTACTAGAATCTAACCTCCCAAATTAAAGTCAAATGTAATTCTCTTCAACTCAAACTTGTTAAGGATGCATGCACCATATGTCCTTAAAGTCTATATAAATGCATGTGTGCATGGACCCTTTCATTGCATATCAACTTCAAAACCCCTAGCTTGGTTATACTTCCATAAATATATACATCTTCTCAAACAATTCAATCTAGTAGCTCAAGTATGGTGGTGAATAAGGCAATTATTGGTGCTCATCAATATTTAGCTATTGTTGCTTTTCTCCATCTTTTCTTGAGCTCTATTGTGCTTAACACCATAGAAGCTAGGGATGTTAGGCCATTGTTGAAGAATTTTCGAAGTAGCTATGGGTCGTTAACCCATCGTAATAATGAAGGGAAGTACTCTTTTGTAAAGGTGGCACGATCTGGACCTTCTCCATGTGGTCCTGGACATGCTTGCAACTCTTTTGTAGAGGTGGCACAATCTAAGCCTTCTTCGCCAGATGCTAGACATGATGAAGGTTACAATTTCATAAAGGATGTCCAGTTCCAACCAGCTAGATATGATCAAGGTTATACTTTAACAAATGTGGCACAATCTGTGCCTTCTCCGCCACGCGGTCTTGGGCATGGTCAAGGTTACACTTTTGCTAAGGTGGCGCAATCGGGGCCTTCTCCACGTGGCGCGGGACATGATCAAGGTTACACTTTCACAAATGTGGCACAATCTGAGCCTTCCCCATGTGGTCCTGGACATGACGATCAAAGTTACACTACTCTCACAAAGGTGACATCATCTGGACCTTCTTATTCGCATAACACCAGACACGTTCCAAGTTACAGTTTCATAGAAGTAGCGCAATCTGGACCTTCCCCACGAGGCGCGGGACATGATGGAAGTTACATCTCCTCACAATCTAGACCTTCTTCGCACCATGTTGGACGCTATGCGGAGTTCTTTCAAAAGCCTACATAAGTCCTATAAAGATATATCATACTAAATATGCAATATCAAAGATTGAATCCATTTATGTGAATTAATATTTGAACTCAATCCTCTGATCTCCCCGTCATAAAAAATGTACCCAGGAAAATAAGACAAAAATAGAAAATACTATATAAACAAAGTAAGTGATTATGTGTTTTTAGGGAAAAATATAATGTACGTGGTTTCTAATATTGGTGTCAATTTAATTGATGTTTGTATCGTATATGTATTGGTTGTTTCTACACTAGCAGTAGCCGCAATTTTGCCACTACCTCTCCAATCTCTTGCTTCTACTTTGTACAAATCTAAAGAAAGATGTTTCTTTTTTTGGTGAACCCAACCAATTCAGTAATCCTTCCTAAGAATTTTTCAATCATTATACGGTTGACCATAATCCATATTCGAAGGTGAATCACGTCACTAACATGCATATTCATTTTTAATAGGAATAATTGTTAAATAGGTCACATGCAATTAGGTCACTGAACCTAAAAAAAAAAAAAAAAAAGACTACAATTGAATTTCTAAACTAACCCATTTCATGTCATTAATCTAATTTACAGGTTTTTCATATTTCTAACCGGTCACCCAAATTTAAAATATTTAAAATAGTAAAAAATAATAATAATAAGTTCAGTGGCCAAAAATATATGTTTATTTTTTGAATGCTCATTTTAGTGTCTACAAGTTCATTTTAGTATATATATATATATATATATATATATATATATATATATATTATCAAAAATGGACATATAGTATATTAAAAATAAAAATTCAGTATACAAAAAATAAATATTTATCTTTATTTCACCTTTCAATATGTACCATGATTCACAATATAATTTACCAGAATTGTTGATTTCATCCTCCAATCCTTTTGAAGATGTCAAGATGAGATGACTATTTTTTTCCTAAGCAAATCTAGTGAAATTTTATTTTATTTTTTGTCAAACCACAAATTTTCTCAACTAATTAATTAAGGTCATACAGTGATATAATCTAATCAAAACTTATTAAAGCATGCACACACATAAAAGTGGTACAACAAAATGAAGGTGTGTGCTCAAATGCGAATCAATCTTTTTATATGAACTTGCAAATTGTTAAAAGAATGCATTGTAATTATTACACGAATGTACATCAATTACTCACAGAAATGTATGGAGGATGCATGCGCGAGGTGCATTCGTACAGTAATTGCAGTGCATTCATGTAGTAGTCGCGGAACTGGAGTAGTTGCAGTGCATTCCTTCAATTCGCATGAAAAGGCCAGTTCGTAACTGAACGTGATTATATATATATATATATATATATATATATATATATATATATATATAGACAAAATTGTGTATAATCATGCTTACAACATCAGAAAAAAGAGTCATGCATAAACCCTTTGGCGACCTCTCACAAATTTATAAACTTTAACGAGAATGTACATTGACATTCAATCTGCATGTAACAAAATGTTTCTCCAAGGGTTTTTGATCAATAACCGTTAGCTGATTGTGTTAGTGACTAGTAAGTTTGACTAGTTGATAGGATTAGTTGATTATAGAAAGTTGTTTGGTAAATTAGTTGTTAGCTGATAGCTGATTATATGCAAAATGACTTTCTCAAAAAACTGATCGAAAAAGTTAGTTTGAACAGCTTTTTGAGTTTTAACGTTTTTGAGCAATAAACTGTTACAAAAAGTTAATTAATCAAACACTTATATTAATTGTTTAACTAAGTACGTGAAACGGTTAATAGTAATTAAATAAGTCACAATTGACTGATAAGCTAATTATGTTACTAAACACGCCATAAACATTTGATGCAATCTCGCTAATTAAGAGTTAGCTAGCTTAATGATAGACATGTAAAACAAACACTCCAAGAAAATAATCAATCAAAAAGTGTATATGAGCAACCAGTGCACGCAACTCTCCAAGGATCACTTGTTGTAGATGCATGCATATATGAGATGGAGACTTTATTTTAGTGAACATTTCCAATAAGAAAGGATATATGCTTTGGCCAGTAATACACATTACACAATGAGCTTTACCTAATTAATTGCCTTATCTCAACATATATCACTTCTCTCCACCATCCCACACTCACAACTAATTACCCCTTATAACATATATATTAGACACAAGAAACGTACCGAGCAGACAGACGATATGATACTTTTTTAAATTGTTTAGTACTCAAACAAAAAAACACTACTGGAAATTATGGAATTTCCGACCACCTGAAAGTGATCTTAAATCAAGTCAAAAGTCTTGTTCCGACCACTTTTGGTATCCGGAAAAATTTTTGTTGCTATTTCCGACCACTTTTTATTTTCAACTTTGATTTAATATCACTTTCAAGTTATCGAAATTGCATATAATTTCCCGTAGTGAAAATAGCATTATATTAATGGTAGTTTAGCTAACTCATCCTATGTTGGTAGTATTTTAGAAGAGTGTGTGTCTCTTGTTCAAGCTTTATGTGATTCGGTAAGACAACTTTCTCTCAGTTTGAGCGTACTATACGCACTAGTCAAGAGTATTATCTTCAATTTGTGTATATATTCTTGAATTCATGCAATAAATCTTGGGTGTTTTTGCATTTAAAAAAAAAAAATGGATAAACGCATGATATCCAATTTGTTTCTCTCTTCAAAGTGGAAAAGGCTCTCTTATTTTCCAATTTTCCGTTTTCAAATAAAAAAACCTAAGATTGGGGGTAAATACATTTTTGGATTAGCTTTTAAATGTTTGACCGACTTTAATTTAGCTATTTAATTAGTTTTTTTAGCTAATTAATTTAGCTATTTAATTTGCATTTGCAAGTCGAAAGTCTACGATACCCTGGTCGTGAAATGCTTTTAATGCAGTGTTACTTATAACACGTCGCAAGAATTATTTTCCCTCTTCTTCCGTATTTTCCAGCCTACATTAACAGTATTCGTACGATATTGTTCTCTTATTGCTAGTTTTCGAACTACAAATCCCAACAACTCCAACAAGTGATGATTCTCTCAAATAAAAAGTTATGAATTTGATCCCCACTGGTAAGTATAAGAGTACGTATCTAGCAACACTGAATTTGTTCTCTTATTGCTAGTTTTCGAACTACAAATCTCAACAACTCCAACAAGTGATGATTCTCTCAAATAAAAAGTTATGAATTTGATCCCCACTGGTAAGTATAAGAGTACGTATCTAGCATTTTCGGTGCTAATCTGAATATTACTTTGATGGTCTGCTATACTAAGTTTGTTCATATCAAGACTATGTGATCTAATGGTATCTGGGTTGGACTTTCATTTGGAAAGTTGTGAGTTTGAGCCTCAGTAGAGGCGTTATTGGCTCTGAGAAAGTATATGAACAGATACTACATTGTAATAGAGTTAGTAGCATTCAAAAAAATAAGTTTGCTAGTTTGGTATGCTATTTTACATTTTATAATTATATTAAGTTGCCAAGTAACTCTTAACCACTACATCGAAATTTAACAAGCTCTTTGTTTGAGCTCCGATCATACGTTGGTATTGCTAGCAATGATTGTAGAACCATTATACATGCATTCTTTTCATAGTAGAAAATATGTATGGATAGATACTATATTGTAATAGAGTAAGTAGTATTCAAAAAAAATATTAATTATATAAATAATAATAATTTATTATTTAAAATTAAAATAATTGATAATTAACAGTTATTTTTAATTATTTGTTTAAATATCTACAAAAAAATCATTTTATTATTTATTAAATAGAATTATTTTATATTAATAATAAATAATAATTATGTAATTAATATTTGTTTAATAAAATATAGGTATGTTCTTATATGTTTTTCTTTACATGTTAATTGTTTATCATAGACAACTAATTTTACCAAATATTCCCAACACATCATTAAATAATGTGTTTATTAAAATTCACCATGACGCTATTACATTGTAGTATCTGTTCATCTATACTTTCTCAACCTGTTGAAGCACAAAGAGTCAACACCGCCTTCACTGAGGCTTGATCTCATAACCTCCTATGTGCATAGGAGAGTCGACTACATAACATCTGAGTACAAGGTGTTTGACAGTTGATATACAATTTTAAGAAACAAGAAACTTAACCCAACTTCCGTGTATTGCTAATTTGCGTTTTCCATTTAGAAAATGAAAAATTTTCCATTTATGAAATGTGCCATAAAAAATTTGTTTATATATTAATTCCATTCATACATTTGTGGCTTCACTCAATATAAGCCACAAAAGAACTATTTCCCCCTTAGATTCATGCACTAAATATGTAATACAAAATCAGTTCGACCTGGTTGGTTATGAAACCGAGATTGATTTATCTTATTGTAGTCTTTTGTCAACTAAAGTCACAGGGCATCGAAATGTACATTTTGAATAGTGGTTTGGTCCCGTCTCTTTCTTTGTATTTGCTTTGGTGGATTAATGATGTTTGGGTTTCTTAAAAAAAATGTTTAATTAGACAAAATTATCATAATGTTATCACATTTTTTTAATATTATATTCATTATGGACCTTTGATCTTGTGACTATTGTGATCTTGTTAATTTCAGTACTCGACTTTAAAAACTAACAATTTAGTCCAGTAACTATGCAATTTTTAAAACATTTAATTTGGTCCACCCGACCAAATATCGCCGGGAAACGTAAACTTTTTAAATTTTTATTCATGGGGCAAAACAGTCATTTAACGTTTAAATTTCTTGCTTCCACTGGAAATGGATAATGAAAGAAAAGGATGAACCTTGAAATGATCATATTGCCCTCGAATTAAACAAATTAAAATGATTTTACAACTTTCCGCAACATTTGGCCGGTGTTTTGGTTGGGTGGACCAAATGTGTTAAAAATTGCATATATAGTTACGAGACTAAATTGTTAGTTTTTAAAGTCGAGTAATGAAATTAACAAGACCCCAATAGTCATAGGACTAAAAGTGTAACTATATATATATATATATATATATATATATATATATATATATATATATATATATATATATATATATATATATATATATATATATATATATGGATTCCCGTGCAGTTGTGTGTGTCCGGTGCGATTGTGGGGTGAGATGAGAGCCATTGATCTTGTCAAGATCAACGTCTAGGATTAACAATTTTTTTTTTTTTTTAAAATATGGTGACAATTTGGTAATTTTAATTTACATCTAGATCAAATTTAAGGTGCGTGTTTTTTGTGTTTAAAGTGAGTGGGTTTTGTGTTGTGTGTTTAAGGTGCGTCAATGGTTGAAAACTTAAGTGTCGTTCTAAAGCTTTAGGTGCATGGTTTTCCTTCTTAAGGTGCGTGGTTTGTGTGCTTAAGGTGCGTCAGTTGTTGAAACTTTAGGTGCGTGGTTTTCCTTCTTAATGTGTGTGATTTTTCTTCTTAAGGGGTCTAAAGCTTTAGGTGCGTGAGTTTTCTTCTTAAGGTGCATTGTTTTCCTTAAGGTGCTTTATTTTCCTTCGTAAGACAGTCTTTATATCGTGCACCACGCGTCAAAACGGCACCGTTTCTGCAGTTATAATGGAGTGACACTACAGTGTGTCTAAATCGACATTGTCTCACGTATTGTTTTTATATTATCAAATGAAACTGCAGTTATATCAAAATGATATTGTAGTTGTGGTTAAATGAAACTACAGTATATATAAAATGAAACTGAATAACATTTCACATATTTGAGTATATATTGTATAATGAAGCTGTAATTATATTGAAATGGTCATGTAGTTGTGTTTTAATGAAACTATAGTGTATATAAAATAAAATTAAATAACATTTTCACATATTTGTGTGTATAAATATTGAATGAAACTGTAGTTATATCGAAATGAAACTGTAGTTGTGTTGAACTGAAACTGCAGTGTATACAAAATGAAGTTGAAGAACAGAGTTATTTTTTACGAAAATTCTATTTCTTTTCATTAAATAAAACGATGTCGTTTTGATGCGCGGTGCATAATTGATTATGCATTGCGGTGCACGATATAATTTGCCTTCGTAAGATGCGTTGTTTTCTTCCTTAGAATAGTATTCAAACTTTGTTGGGCTATTGTTTTTCTTTAAGAATATTATTTACATGGTAGCCCAACAAAGTTTGAATAATATTCTGGCAAATTATGCTGTGGATCTGTATGCACCATGCATGGTGCATACAGATCCACACGACGTCGTTTTAGCCTAATGACGCGGGGTTTTATAAAAAAAAAAAAAAATTCCGTTAACGGCGTTTACTTCCAAATTCCTTTTGAGTTTGTTTCCAAGTTTCAAACTCGATCGTTGGCAGTTGTTCGCTGTGGTATTGGCATTCGATATCACCGGAATCGCGATCGCAATCTCAATCGCATTCGCAAATCGCAATCGCAAATCGAAATCGGGAATTACAAAGTGATTGATAGATGGAGGATGGAACAGAGCAGACGAATTCCGCAGTTGATGATTAGCATTCGATTCAAGGTGATCTTGTTATTGTTTTTGCAATCGTTCCTTTTGGTTTTTTATATGATTATGTGATTAGCAGTGATGTTTGTGTCTAGAATCTGCAAATAGTTGTGCAAAATCACGTAAGTAATTTCCATAATTGTGTAACAACAATTTCAGAATTTGAAAACAATAATTCCATAATTTCATAACTATATTTCCAGAATTGCATGTCTATATATTCAGAATTAGGGGTACTCTGTTTTGGCAGTTTGTTGCGACTGTGTATCCAGAATTGTATAACTATATTTCCATAATCATATAACTATATATACAGAATCTGTAGACACTCTGTTTTTTCTGTTTGATGAACTGTTTGAATTAATGTTCACCATGTCTATATAATGTAGTTAGTGAAGGCATTGTGGATGGTTCAGTAGATGTTGATGGATCTTCATCAATTACAGGTTTATTCATAGTGGTTTACCTTTTAATTAGCAAATTATGGTTAGGAATTATGTGTTAATGGAAATGGTTATTATTGTGTTATATTTGCAGTTGATCAAGATTTGGTTGGTTTGGTAGTAAGTAATGCTGATGAGGCTTTTGAGGTGTATAACAGTTATGCATATACACTTGGTTTTAGTGTGAGGAAGGGTCATCAACGATACAAGGGATCTTCGAACACAATTCAAATGAAGAAATTTTGTTGTTCTAAGGCTGGTTACAAGGCTAACAGTGGGGTTAAGGCTTATTCCAAAATTGACACAAGGACAGGGTGTGGAGCGTTTGTTCAATTTGACGTGGGTGATGATGGGTTGTGGACAGTTACGAAACACGAGAAAGTGCACAATCACGAGTTATGTGTGTTCAACAAGAGTCATCTACTTCGTTCACATAGGAGTGTCGGAGATAATCAGCTCTTATATTTACAAGGTTTGAAGGACAGTGGTGTTGCATTGGCAGATGGTATTAGGTTCCTAAAACACCAATCGGGGGGGTCCCCTTTAGTTGGTTTCACCAGTAGAGATGCTTATAATTCAATGGCTGCGGATACTGTCAAGCGATTGGATGGAACGGATTCTAACTCTTTAATTGAAATTTTTAGGAGGAGGCAGTCTACCGAGACTGATTTTTTCTTTGATTTTGAACTTGACTTGGATGCAAGGTTGTGCAGTTTTTTTTGGAGGGATGGTCAAATGAGACGAGATTACGAGGTGTTTGGGGACTTGTTAGTGCATGATACGACATATCGCACAAACAAATACGATATGATTTGTGCCCCTTTCGTAGGGATGAATCACCATTGCATGAATGTAATGTTTGGATGCGGGTTTTTGATGAACGAGAGGATAGAATCGTTTTTGTGGTTGTTTAAAGTGTTTTCAAGATCAATGGGTGGCAAGTCTCCACAGACTATTATGACAGATCAATGTGCAGCTATGGCTGCTGCTATATCTAAAGTGTTTCCAACATCACGTCATCGTCTTTGCATATGGCATATCGGTGAGAATTCAAAGAAGCATATCAAGACGTTAAGGAGCAATAAGGATTTCTTGGATATGTTTAACTACGTGTTGAAATACACAGAGACCGAAGCTGAATTTCAATTCTATTGGACAAGGTATGTTAGTAATTAATCGTTTTTATTGCATTACGTTTGTAATTATGGATGTATAGTGCATCAATTATGGATATATAGTATTTCGATTATGGATATATAGCAGTGGTGGTGTCTGGAAATGTAGTATATGGATTATGGATATATAGTATTCCGATTATGGATATATAGTATACCGATTATGGATATATAGCAGTTGAACTTACTGGTGGTGTCTGGAAATGTAGTAGTATGGATTATGGATATATAGTCTATCAATTATGGACATATAGTATTCCAATTATGTATATAGAGCAATAGAAATTCTGAGTATGTGTTAGATGTGGTGATGCTGCTTGTTAATATTCTGCTTCATAATCATTTGGGATTTTGTCTTACCATTTTCAGGTTGGTGACTGACTATAAATGTCACAAGAATACTTGGTTAGAAAAGCTATATGACTGTAGGGAGAAGTGGTGTCCAGCATTTAACAAGGACTATTTTTCTGGGGGCATTCTATCATCACAAAGGAGTGAAACTACAAATCATTCGATTTCTAGAAGGTTGTCCAAGACAGCGGGTCTTTGTGATTTCTATTCATCGTTTGTAAGCGTAATTTCTGAATGGAGAAGTAAAGAGAACGGTGAAGACTTTCGGTGTGCTCAAGGGGTACCCGCTATGATGATGGAGCATGTGAAACTTCTTTCACATGCTAGAGAGGTATACACGATTGAGATATATTTTCTGTTTGAGGAACAATTCATGAAAGGCAGTGCGTGTCATCAAGAGATGGTGTTGAATGATGGCCGTCAACAGAAGTATCACGTGTGGCGGCCAGATATAGATATTATAAGGCATGAGGTTAGTTTTAACGCAGCCAACTTGGACATTTCTTGTAGTTGCAAGTTGATGTCTGAGTTGGGAATTCTATGTTGTCATTGTATACGCATTCTTCACGTACATTGTGTTTCTAGTATTCCCGACAAATATATACTTAAAAGATGGACTAAAAAGGTTATTGATGGTAGGAATGTCAACATTGATTCTATGGTTTATAATGTTGGTGTTCCTCCATCAATTTGGGTGTTCGATATTAGTAGAAAATTTCAAAGATTAGTTGTGTCTAGTCAAGATAGCAGCGTAGCGAGGAAACTGTGTGACGAGGCTGTTGATGATGTAAAGAAAAAGGTTGAAGCCGAGGTTGGGCATGTGCATATTGAAGAGTGTGGTGTTTCATCTTCAAGTGGTGGTGTTCAAAATCCTTCAAGTCGGAGATTGAAAGGTGAGCGTAACAAAAGGAGGAGTGGTGTTATTGAAAAGAAGTACAGTCTTGCAAGGGGGAGAAGGAGTGCTGCAAATAAAGCTGCATTGAGTACAAAGGGTGCTGTTCAGTCTTTGGTGTTGGAAAACATATCCAAGCTTGCTGGGGATGGATACCTTGTACATCCAAGTTCTTCAAGTTCAGATTTTGTTCAGTTTAGTAAGGGTTTAGATGACAATGTAGGTGTAGATTGAGAAATACAAGTTGTTATCATTGATTTTATGCAATTATACAGTTTTAGTTTTGTAATTCTGGATATGTAGTTTTGCAATTTTGGAACTGTAGTTATGAAATTATGGAATTATAGTTATACAATTATGGAATTGTAGTCATGCAATTATGAAAGGTATGCAATTATGAATTTGTAGTTATGAAATTGTGGTGTTTAGTTATGCAAGTATGGATGTATAGTTTTGCAATTATGGTATTATTGTTACGCAATTATGGAACTATAGTTATGCAATTGTGGAATTGTTTATATACAATTATGGAATTATAATTATGAAATTATGGAATTATAGTTATGCAATTATGGAACTATAGTTTTGCAATTCTGGATTTATAGTAGTCATGCAATTATAGATTTGATACATGAAAACAAAAACAAAAAAAAAAACAAAAAAAGTAAAGAAAAGAAAAGAAGAGAAAAGAGAAAGAGGTGCATAGATCAGATGTAAATTGTTATTTAGCTATTAACATCATGCATCTACATTCACAAAATACAAGTCACATTGTCAATGTAGTTCACAAAAACTTTCTAATTGTTTAGAATTCAGTCAACATGTTGAAGAATATTCATTCAATTCTTCTTCGAAACTCTTTTGGCCGCTTGCAGAACCTCCCCCCTGACTTCATTCATTCTCCACTTTATGAGGTTCGCAGCATATTTCGCTCGCAATTCACACATGAAGCTTGCCTATAAACAAATAACATTAAGTAATTAGTCATTCGCAGTTTTATTTATTTTTTAATGTATTTTGAAACTATAATATGTATGGTAGTCTTACATTCAAGCGCATATTTTTCTTGAATCCTGGCTGCCAGTCTTGTAGAGTCCCTCGGAATGTCTCCATATGACGGAGTACATAGATCCCGCAATCAGTGACGTTTTCAGTGTTTGCCCAGTCCAACTTAAGGTACTTTATATCAACTTTTTGCAATTTCACATACAAGGAGTGGCACTCGGCCTTAAGGTAACCACTGAATGCTTCAATCTGGTCAGAAAAGTTAGTTTAGTGTTGATAATGCTTTTATGTCAATAGATAGGTAATGGTAAGAATGTCAAGTTTTTTTTATCAAAATTACCAATAAGTGTGGGCAGTTGCCATATTTGTCCTTCTCCGAAACACCAGCTGATAACTCCTTGTTGTCAATGACCTGTACTTTATGTTCTTTCACATTGAAGCAGACCAAGAAGTAGTGACCATGGCGATGAACTGCGAAAAATATCTAATTCCAATTCAAAGTTAAAGCAATGTTAGTATTTTTTTGGACATGATAAAGTCAAATTGGACATGGGTAATAGAACTTACCAGATCTGCATCACTGATGTCTAGGTTCCCGAAGCTGGTTATTTCATAGCTCAATCTCTCATTGAAATTCTTCTTTTTTTATGTGAGTTGGGAGATCCTTCATCCACTGATCATTGGGATCAATTTGAAGCTGCACATACAAATGCAGGAATGGGTAGTCATAATCCAAATAATATTTGTTGAAAATGTTAAAGTTATACATACAGAGTTATATATATATACATTTCCAGAATTGTACAACTATAGTTCCATAATTGGATAACTATAATTCCATAATTTCATATCAATAATTCCATAATTGCATATAACCAATTCCATAATTGCATAAGTATAGTTCTATAATTGCATAACTATAATTCCAGAATTACAAAATTATAAAACCAAGGGTTCACAGGTACACATCCAGAACTGAATAACTACATATCCATAATCTAAAAACTATATATTCATAATTTGTGAACACTTACATGTACTAGGGTGGAGAAGTAGACCCGCTTTGTCTCCCCAACCGCACGGGGCATGTTCAGCAATGTAAAACGTAGGGACCAGACATCTAGGAAGCTGCTCAGTAGCTCACCGTTGCACATAGTTGCAAAATCATCCCTTGTGAAGTAGTAATCACCATATTTGAACAATGTCTCTCTACAATACAGTAAATAAATAAATATAAGAACATAAATTAATGAATAAAATTTAAGTAAAATTGGTGGATGGAAACATACCCTCCCGGGTGCTCACTTGAGGCTTCCAAAAATGCGTAGTTTGAAAAAACCTTTTCTTTGGGAGTTGCATTATTGATGGAGCCTTTGTTCTTATTCCAATATGGTGACCTCAAATGAAGCGGGATGTTCCTGAATTTGCGCACAGGTCTCTTTCTCACAGTAACATCCTCAACATCAGATTCACTTTCATCCATAGCCCTGTTGTCCAGAAAAAAACAGAGGCAGTTCATAACCCCACAAGTATAATTCCAGAATTGTATAACTACATTTCTATAATCTATAAACTATATGTCCATAATTTGAGAAATACATATCCATAATTGTAAAGAAATCAACGTCACTAGTTGAATAAGAATATATTCATATTAATCAAACTTAATATTCATAATTATTGATGAATTGAAAACCATATTTATAGTCTAAATCTGCATAAGAAAGCAGTAACCTACTTATCAAATTCATCAATCTCAGCAGCAGTTTGGGCAGCAGGGGTAGTAGGAGTGGTGGACTTTTCGAATGGCACTCTGATTAGCAATGGAGTTGCTTCCTTCTCTGTTGATACTCCTGCACTCCTCACAATGTTATCCACCAAGGTGTCCAAAGGCTGCTGTTGAGATGGTGGTGGGGTTGGTGTAGAGCGTCCAAGTAGCTCAAATGATGGGACTTCTATTTCCATTTCCTTTCTTGTTTTTTCAAAAGCTGCTACCAGAGAATCAACTGCTGATGTGAAGCTCTCACTTCCAAAGAAGATGTCATCCAATTGCGAGGCAGTTGGGCTAGGAGTCGGTTGAATTGTGCTTGCAGCACTCAGCATTGTTGATATTCCTGAAAAAGCCCTCTTCATGATTTCAACCGGGGCCCCTTGCTTGCCAATGTCAGACATGACCTGACCGAACTCAAGGACATCTGCTGTAAGCCGTTGAAGCACATTTGTTACTCGGTCAACATTTGTCAGAGGCACAGATGGAGCTGGAATAGTTGGTGTAGCAGCAGGGCTGGACACTGGCCTTGGTATTGCAGCAGGAGGAGGTGCAGGTCGGGGTGATGATGTAGATGCAATGGCAGTAGGTCTCTGAAATCGAGGGATAACTTTGCCCTTACCAAAACCCCCTGATTTTATCTCAGCCGATACTCGCTTGCGTACAAGGCTTTTTGTCCAAGCTTTTATTGCTGGGAATGTGCGGTTGACGGTCATGCCTCTGAACTGTACTCGGTCAAAGTAGAAGAGCTTCAAGAAGTACAGAAGAGTATGTTAAGGAATTGAATAACTACATATTCAGAATTGCATATCTATAATTCCATAATTGCATAACTATAATTCCATAATTATAAAACTAGATATCCAGAATTGCATATCTATAATTCCATAATTGCATAACTATAATTCCATAATTGGATGACTATAATTCCATAATCCATAAAGTACACATCTATAATTGATTAACTATAATTCCATAATTGTAAAACTATTATTCCATAATTGGAAAACCACAATTCCACAATTACAAAACTACACATCCATAAGGGCATAACCACACATACAGAATTGCATATCTATGATTCCATAATTGCATGAATATAATTACATAATTAGAACATTTTATGTATAATGGGATATTACCAGGATGAATACCATTGGACCTCCAAAGGATCTGGTAGGAGAGTCTTTGTAAATGTCATACGAATCAATTAAAGAATTGTACGTGTACTTGCACCAATTAAGTCTTGAGATTGACCGGATGTTGAGCAATGACTTGATAACTCGATAGTTGGCATATCTTCCTGTATTTCCCCGGAGCAGAGATGAGACAGCAAACACCACAAAGTCTCTCTTGAAGGCATCTCCATGGTCACCTCTCCTGATTATTTCATCAGGCATCTTTGTTGTTATGGGTGACCCTGACCTGACATTCCATCTTTTCCTCCACTCAGTCAGGACCTTATTATATGCAGCTGTAGAATTTTCCTCACTCTTTGTACCTTCCTCAACATCTCTCTTCCCCCGGGGGAGTCCCAAGATGTATTCAACATCCTCTTCACCAACATGTAGATGGTCACCATCCAATATGAAGTCTGATTTGAAAACATCAAACCTTTGCAGGAGATACTCAACAAGTTGTGAGTAATTGCTTGAAAATTGTAGGTGCAGCAGCCCTCCAAAACCCATATCAATCACAGCATCCTTTTGGTCATGTGTTAGACGCTGGACAAGGTCATACATTTGCTTGGGACCCATTCGTGTACTGAAGTAGTTCACATCAGGGTCCCGTACTCTCTCTTGCTTTTGTGGTGGTGCCCTCTTTCTTTTTACAGCTGCTGGTTGTTGCCTTGTCGAAGGCTCTGCTTGATCTTCCTGGGCAGGGGTGAGTTCAGCAGCTTGTGAGCTCAATACTGCTCTGGTTGTTCTCTTTTTTACAGACTTCACAAATTGACCAAGTGTAGAATCATCTGCCACACCTGACTGATCCATTTCTGCAAATAAAAAACATCAAGTGAGGTTAACAGAGTACTATATCCAAAACTTCATAACTACAATTCCATAAACACACAACTATACTTCCAGAATTGTAAAACTACAATTCCATAATCTCATAAGCATACCACAAGGCAAGTTATGCTAAAAAGGATTTGAATGCAATTTGGTGCACAGAGTAAGGTTCACAGAGTAATACATCCAAAACTGTATAACTATAATTCCATAAACGCATAATTATACTTCCAAAATTGTACAATTACAATTCCATAAGCATACCTACAAGGCAAATTATGCTAAAAAGGCATTGATGCAGTTTGGTGCACAGAGTAAGGTTCACAGAGTACTACATCCAAAACTCTATAACTACAATTCCATAAACGCACAACTATATTTCCAAAATTGTAAAACTACAATTCCATAAGTATACGCACAAAGCAAATTATGTTAAGAAGGCATGAATGCAGTTTGGTGCACAGAGTAAGGTTAACAGAGTACTACACCCAAAACTGTATGTCTACAATTCCATAAATGTACAACTATACTTCCAAAATTGTAAAACTACAGTTCCATAAACTTATAAATATACTCATAAACCCATAATCATAACCATGCACGTTAATAATCAAATAACTATACATTCATACAAGATTAAACAGTATAAAACCCTAGTTTAAAATTTCATAAATATATACTCAAAATGAATGCTTGTTTTGTGTAAATGCATTATGTATCAACGTAAAATGCATTTATACCTGTTATAGGATGATGATGAGCTCTGGTTTACAGAGAAAACGCTGTTGAATTCGCAATGATCGGACGCCGGCGACAATAGCGACGACGAGTGTGTTTGAAAGCTAGAAAATTCTAAAGAAATGGTAAGGAAATGGAGATGATTGAAGCGTTTACGGAGGGTATCGTGTTGGAGAAGGAATGGAGTGCGGGAAGTGAAATGCAGTGGAGAAGAAACGAAGGAGCATTGTTTTATTTTTTTAAAAAAAAAAAATATCTGATTGGTGGAGTGAAACGGTGCCACTAACGGCACCGTTACTCCCTAAACGACGTCGTGTGGATCCGGATGCACCAAGTACGGTGCAACCGGATGCACAGCATAACGATTGTAATATTCTTGAAGAAAAAACAAAGCCCAAAACTAGCAACTTATTTTCACCCCAAAACGCCATGCCAATTCCTTGCTTTTTCTTGGGTTTAGAATAATCATGGAACCAAGAAATCAAACCTTATAAAACCACAACAATTTTCATCGCCAAATGGCACTGCGACTCTCGGCCATAGCTTCATCGACACTCATACGTCGCCGTTTGCCTCTAGTCGGAGCCTTCTGTGTGCTAACTTTCGGCCTCTCCAATCTCTCTGTCCCTTTCTCCAAAACGGGTTGTGCTCAATCCCTCCCCTTTGCCCCTCTCTTCAGGTAAATTCTTTCATTTCTCCGCTTCACATTGAACCATTTGTGTTTGATGGTGAAATTGCGGTCTGGATTTTGCTAATCTTGCGATGATTTTGGTGTTTCAGATCAAAGAGTAGAAGTGTTCATAGTGTGAGAATGGAAGCTAGCGATAAGACTGTGCCCAGTATCGTAGTCTATGTCACTGTTCCTAACAAAGAAGCTGGTTAGTCTTCAATTATGTCTTAAATCCCTATCTTTTGATCATTTTGGTCTGCAGTGATATTAAACCCTTAGAATTGATTGTATATTTGTATTTGCTAGTTATAATTGTACTAAGCTTCTCCCTTTTTTTTCTTGAAAATTGTCAGATTCTTAACAAATTGAATCAAAATGCATTGCAAACGTGTTAGTTGATTGTGTTAATGGGTATAACATTGGCTGTTGTAGAAAAATGTTTGGTAAATTAGCTGGTAGCTGATAGTTATTTGGTATAATTTCTTTTATGGAAAAGCTAATTGAAAAAGTTGTTTGGAGTAGTTTTTTGAATTTTAGCATTTTGGAGTTGCAAAAAGTTAATTAACCAAACACTTATATTGATATTTTAACTAAATCAAACAATTAATAGTGGTTAAATAAGCCAAAATTGGCCTATAGGCCAATTTTTTACCAAACAGGGTTAACTTTTTGATGGAATGTTTCCCTACATGTCTCAGATGCGCCTTCCTTTCTTGAACAAACTTTTACTAGTTGCATTAACAATTTAAAGATATGTAATCCTTTTGAATGTATTTTGATTAGTAAAAGTAGTTATACTCGTATATTCATATCGAAGTTCACCCATTCTGTGCTTACATACAATATAATGTCCCGTGGTTTTCTGCTGCTGCTTCTACTATCTCTATGTTTTTGGCCGATGTTTAAATTGCAATGCCTCTTCCTTTGTAGGTAAGAAATTGGCTGAAAGCATAGTCAAGGAAAAACTTGCGGCATGTGTTAATCGAGTTCCAGGCAAGTGCACTCTTCCGTATTACTTCATTACGCAAATGAAACGTAGCTTAGAGACATTCTGTTAATCCTTTAGCAAGTTAGCATATCTTATGCGTCACATTTGGTAGAGACGAGTTTAAAATAGGTCGTTTAGTCATATGTGGATCATGCTAGTTCTTTACTTTTGTAGCTAGAACTTGAATTGGACCTCCAAATTTTTGTTTTTTCGTTCAATTTCTTTTCTCATCAGTTGGAAATACATGGCACCGAAATGGTTCAATAATGAACTTGACACAATTTTAGGCGTATAGATCTTTTCTCTTTTTTTTTGGGTGATGAGGGAAACCCGCAACCGCTATCCAAGGGTGTGCACTGGGTAAATGAGTAAATCCCGCCTTGTTACCCTAACCAACAAAGGATCAGAAAGAGGTAAACTAACCTAGGTTGCACATAACTGACTGCCTCAAACCAAAAAGGCGAATAGGCCGCTCCCGTTGGGATCGAACTTGTAACCATTGCAGCATATGATCAACAAAGAGTGTCTTAAATTAATACTCTGATATTATTGATGAGTAAAACCGTGGGAAGTATTAACGGTTTAATCTCTGCAGGCGTCGAGTCAGTTTATGAATGGGATGGAAAGGTAATATTCATTCCCGTTGTGAATCATCACAAGGCACTACCTTCAATATATGGCATTGGTTTCTAAGAAATATTTCTAAATTGTCGATAACAGATACAGAGCGATTCTGAAGAGCTGCTTATTATCAAAACTCGGGAATCTCTCTTGGAAGCTCTCACCGCACATGTGAATGCCAACCATGAATACGAGTAAGACTCTGTTCCATAATCCTCTTTGCCCGAAATAGTCGTTTTATCTGGGATTATGATTATCGTTTTTGCTTGTTTCTGCAGTGTTCCTGAAGTGATTGCCTTGCCCATAGTTGGTGGCAGCCCCCAGTACCTGGAATGGATCAAGAACACTACAAGAGAGAAATGATTTTGCTTTAAATAAGATTGTCTTTCAGTCATTGTACAAATTTACTTCCTGTAATGCTATTTTCTGCCTTTGAACTGGTTACTAGTACTACGGTGGATTAATAAAGTGGCAGAAAATTTCTCAGTTCCCCATATGTGATTATTGCGTGGTGTTTGGTTCGTAGAATAGACATGGAGTATAATAACATTCTATAAAATGATAGCCATCCAAAGGTCTCATAGTATAAGGGTGAATTTGGTTCATGGGTTTATACATTAAGAATGAGAATCAAAATTTGTCCGTGTTTGGTTGATGATTTTTTAAAACACAACTATGAGATTTGATTACCCTCTCAATAAAGGTTTTAAAAATATAAAAATAAAAAATTAAAGCAATTGATTTTAATATAATGACATCCAAACTAGTGAAAAAAAAATTAAAATAAAAAGAAAAAGGGTGAAATAGGCTAAATCGGAACCAAAATCGTACGGAACCGTGGTCACCCATACTAAAAGGACTTTTGTAATATTAAAAGGACTTTTTTGTAATGTGTTTATTTCCGTTGTTAGAAGATCAGCGAACTAGACGGCCCATGTACTTGTTAGGCAGTCTAGTTCTGTATCTGATTAATCGAGTGGTTCTACAACCCTCTTTCTATCATTTGTAACATGTTGATGTTGATTTCTTATTTAAGTTAATGAAATGTTTTTATTGTTTCCAAAAACAAAACAAAAAAGTTCTACTCCTTAATATATTTATGGTGGGATTAAAATGCCCATTCTCCCTATCATTATTATTGCAAACTATGCAAAAAATTTCCCTAAAGAACGGTTTATGAAAGTGAAAACTCTAAATTTGAGTATTTGAGCTAAAGCTCTTTGAAGAAATGTGCGGAACTTCAATGGCAAAATTACATCCTGAAATTGTACTCTGAAATTCATCTCTCGCATCACTTTGTGCCACCATCTCTAATTGAGCCACCGTCGCGGCGGCCGCCACCATCTCTTCCGAATCGCCACTGTCGGAGCGTCCTCACGTCTCCAATACGACGCTGCTTACAGCTGTTCCGTCGTGCGTCATACTTGCCTCGCTGCGCCGGCGTTGGCTTCTTCTTTAGGTATTTTAAGTTAATCGCTTTACACTCCAGTTGTTCCCTCACGCCGGCAATGGCGGCTGCTACTTTGTTCATTTCTTTTTTATTGCTTATGTGATTATGTAACTGTTCTCTTCCATAATAGAAAAGAAGAATGCAAATTTTCTTTATTATACAATCAATTTCAATAGGGATTGTAATATCAGTTCGGTTCGCTTTGGTTTCCAATGGTGTTGCCAAGTGTTCAATGAAACGTTCAAATGAAATGACTTGCTGGAATCCTGGATGCTGCTTTGTAATTTTGTCTTTTACTATCTGGATTATGGACAATTTAGCTTAGAGAGTTTATTTGCAGTGATTCTTGGATTAAAATCGAGTTGGTTAAATGGTGAAATTATTTGCTCAAAATGACATATTCTTTTTAGTGAGGATAATTATTTTTTATGCAGAGGAGAAAGCTCAAAATATAATTTAGAGCATGTTTACACAAATGGTTCTCTCACTAATGAGGGCAATGGAACTTTAGAATGAGAAAGGATGGATAGTGGATGGAGTGGGAGAGACAAGAAGAAATTGAAGTGATTGTTCAACAATGATGTGGTTTATGTAGAAAAGTAGAAGCATGGTGTATGTCCTAGCTACTAGTTTTAGAGAAAGCACATAGTTTATATGGGAGTACTAATTTTTTAAATTTGTTATGATTCTAAAACAAAGAGATTGTGACTAGTTCTAATTTGTTGAACCCAGACATGTTTAAGTATTGCAAAGGATCTTTTGCATCAAAGCTGTTGTGTTCTATTTCAATGACTCTTGATTTATCTGTGTTGTGTGCTGGCTGTAGACATCAATCAATGCTTGGCCATTTGGAGACTTTTCCTGGTGTATATTTCTTGATGATTCACATTTAATGGACTGTTTTGCTAGAATGTTTTGATCAGGGGAAAGTTATTTGTTTGGAATGCTTTGTCTAAGTCAGATTAGAATGTTTTTGCTATATGTTTAGGAAATTTTCTTTTTTGGATTGAAGTTATCAACAATTTCAATCTGATGCCCATAATCCCAGACCAGATTTCGTTGTCAAGCAGTGAAGAACTGAAGAATTTGGATGCAATCTCAAGCTCTCATTGAAGAACCTCCTGCCATATGCCAATCTCAGAGATAAACTAAGCTTTTAGGAAGAGAAGGCAGGGAAGGTGCTGAGTAAGACAGGCTGCTGATTCTGCTCTTCCATTGACAGGTAGCACATCTTTTATCTCCTTTCAATAATAATATTTCACTATGTCCCATCATTTCCTTTGTCTCACTTGCTTAGTGGGTCCATTTCAGAACAGTTGGGGGTGGCAAATGTGAACCAGACGAATATTAGTTTTCTATTCAAGAATTCTATGCAAATCAGATGCAAGTTTTCACGACTAAGAATCGATGTTTCTCCTCTTTGTCTACATTGTCATCATCTTCATTTCAATGTATTTCTCATTTTCAACACCATGAAGTGACCTGCCGAAAACGAAATGCCTCAACAAAAACCTCTGTCACCATCAATGAAGTGCCGAAGAAATGGAAGTTTATATCTCATGAAGTGGCAATTAGATTAATAAAGCGCGAGAAGGACCCACAGCATGCACTGGAAATTTTTAACATGGTTTCTGCTCAAAAGGGTTTTAATCACAACAATTCCACTTATGCTATTATTCTCCACAAACTTGCTGCATGCAGAAGATTCCAGATGGTTGATGCTGTCCTCCATCAGATGACCTATGAGACTTGCAAATTTCATGAAGGTATATTCATTAACCTCATGAAGCATTTCTCTAAGTTCTCTCTTCATGAGAAGGTACTGGAAATGTTTTATGCAATTGAGCCAATTGTACGTGAGAAGCCATCTCTTAAAGCCATTAGCACATGCCTCAATCTCCTGGTTGAAGTCAACCAGATTGATATGGCAAAGGCATTTCTATTGCATGTTCAGAAAAATCTCCATTTGGAGCCTAATACATGCATTTTCAACATCCTAGTCAAGCATCATTGTATGAATGCAGACCTTGAGGCTGCTTTTGAAGTGGTTAAAGAGATGAGGAAGTCCCAAGTTTCTTATCCTAATTTGATTACTTACTCAACACTCATGGATGGCCTGTGCCGATGTGGAAGATTGCAAGAAGCAATTGCCGTGCTTGAAGAAATGGTTTCAAAAGATCAAATATTGCCTGATGTTTTAACTTATAATATCCTAATAAAATGGTTTTCTCATGGAGGGGAAGTTGATAAAGGTAGGAAAATAATGGACTTCATGCGAGAAAATGGGTGCCAACCAAATGCATTTAACTACACAACCTTGATGGATGGGTATTGTAAACAAGGAAGATTAAAAGAGGCCGAGGAGGTTTTTGGTGAAATGAAGGAAGCTTTTAAACTGGATACGGTTGGCTATACAGCATATATAAGTTGCTTGTGTAAGGGTGGTAGAATTGATGAAGCCATCAAGTTGCTCGACGAGATGAAAGAAAATGGTTGCATAGCTGATGATGTTGCAATTAAGGTTATACTAACAGCATTGTGCAGGGAGTGCAGGGTGGATGAAGCTTTAAGTTTACTCGGGAAGCTATCCAACGATGGTGTTTACCTTAACAAGGAATGCTACCGTATTGTACTGAATATATTGTGCAAGGAAGGTGAACTGGACAAAGCCATGGAGTTGCTGGGCCGGATGCTGAGCAAGGGGTTTTGGCCTCACATTGCCACATCAAACGAACTATTAATTCGTTTCTGTGAAGCCGGAAAAGCAGCTGATGCAGCAATTGCATTGTTTGGACTGGTGAATGTGGGATTCAAGCCAGAGCCTCATACATGGAGCCTATTAATTGACTCGAGTTGCCGAGAGAGAAAACTATTGCCTGCATTTCAACTACTTGATGAGTTAGCTATCAGCACAGAAACCCAACATCTTTGAGTTCTCTAGACTGAACTTCTCATATTGGTTTTCTGCCCTCTATTGTTACTAATCTGTCTTTACTGAGGCCAGAGAACAAAAGGATTGCATTTCAATCCCAAGAACCTTCATTACCCTTCCCTTGAAGCCTTAGTAGAAGAAGTAAATCGTGAAACGTTTCCAACGGTTTACAAATTTCTCGAAGATTTAGTGGAAAAAGTAAACCGTTTACAAACGGTTTACAAGTTTCTCAAAGATTTAGTGAAAAAAGTAAATCGTGAAATTTGACTTAATGGTTTACAGGTTCCTCAAAATGTTTGTATGTTGAGCATAATAATTTTTCGCTTCCTGAAAAATCTTATTTTTAGATTTTATCAGTAGGGGTAGGGGTGTAAACGAGCCGGGCCGAGCTCGAGCCGGAGTTGGCTTGAACTCAATAAATAATAAATAGGCTCAAGCTCGATTGAGCTCGAAAATAGAATCTCAAACTCGGCTAGTTATGATACAAGTAGACTCGAGCTCAAGCTGAGCTTTGATCGAGTAGCTCGACGAGTCACAAGCCTAAAACATGAGTTTGAGCTCTGTTCGATTACGAAATGAATCAGCTCGAGCTCAAACTTGACCGAGCTCGAGCCTGAGCGACTTGCACCGGCTCATTTACACCCCTACATGTAATTAGCATATAACTTTAGATAATAGAACATGATGGAGAATGAAAAATTGGAGATACAAAAAACAAAGGATTGAAATAATCACATGGAATATCATGAAGCTGATAAAAATTTCCCAAGTCAATTACATGCCAGATGTTGCTGATAAAAAAAAAAAAAAAAAAACAACAGGCTACTGGTTCAGTGGTTCTGGTATCAACACTGTTGACACTGTAAAATGGTAAAAATCATATAGACAGCATGCTAAATATCACATCCCTTACAATTTTTGTTCTGTATTTGAACAGAAGATGATGCAAATCTGCAATAGCCTGTATTTATACTTAGTAGCTAAGAACTACTAGGAATCCGATCATGAACTCGAGATTCACTGGACTATGATCACTCCGGTAGAAGAATCTACGGACAACGAGAACGTGCTTATCCTGGTTTTACCATATCGTGTGCTTCATCCCGAGACCATTGCATGTTAAAATAAGCCCCTTATACCGGTCAAGATATTCCTGCAATCACAGCAGTAGAAAGATTAAGAATAGAAAATGACGATAAATTGGATAAGATTTTAATGCAGGCAGACATGTGAGAAAGATATGGAGCAAAAACGAAAAAAAACATACCACTATATTGTAGTCATAGGCACGTAATACTGCTGTCTTGTCATATTCTTGACGCTTCAGTGGATCACTTAAAACTGTATCACACAATCGGATAAATATCAGTGGAAGAAATAAACGCAAATCTAGAAGGACAACCTTCCATTCAGTTAACATCGCGTTAGAATATATCAAAGGTCAACCTGTGGATGTGCCTGGGTAAATCCTGTTACGAAAGTAAGAAAGGATTTCTAAATATGTTGTCGTAAACTGTCTTATAGAAAAGAGAATACAAAGCCCTATAAAGAGGTGCTAGAAGACTTCGAATAGGAAACAAGTTTCCATATGCCTACCTACTTAAATCCCTAAGACTGTCTAATCTATAGAGATTCCAAATACTATATCTATATTCCATAACAAACCCAATTGACTTGCTCAAACCAATAAGGCCGATATGCGGCTCCCGCATGGAGTTGAATTTGTAACCTTGTGGTTATAAGTCAACAGTCTGACCAACTCGGCTAGGGACTAGGGTTACCCCGGTTTTCATGTTCTCACTAAACATTTATTATCAGAGCGACAGAGCCTATGAGGGGGAGTGAGGGACCAAAATAGAAACCTTAGTTTTGTGCATAGTACATAAGTACATTACCAACCAATCTCCTGTTTACGCCAAAACTATAGTTTTCATACAAAACACAGTTCCTTCGAAACTTCAAAGGCAACTATGCACAACATTCTAATTCTGCCATGAACCCGGAAATTCTCTTTAGACCCTTGGATATTAAACAGGCCCTTTTCCCCCGAGCTTTAGCCTTCAATTAGAGCTATACCTATTCCTTCCATGGCTACTTCCCAAAGAATTTACACTTCTAAGTCATGTCCACACCCTATACACATTATATTCCCGACCTTGCTCTCTGTCGAGGGTAGAACCCATACTACTCACAGACCACTTATTCGTTGCAATGTCAATAACTAACTTCCTTCAAGCAAACCTTCATCCATTAAGTTTTAGACAAACAAGAAAGAACCTCAGCCACTAGATTCAAGTACAATGCATAATCCCAAATCGAGAACGAGCCAACCAGATATAACAATCGCAACTCAGAACCAAATTGAAGGAACAGATGCCATAACTACAAGCAAATGGAAACAGAAGTTCACCTTGGTATGCCTCGTTTATTTCCTGAAACCTTGAAGTAGCACTGTCCTGACCTTTTAGCTTATCCGGGTGCCATTTCTGTACAAGGAAACAACAAACGTCAAAAGACTAAAAGTAGATGACAACTGCCCAATGCAAAATCAAAGAAAAATGAAACCACAATGTTACAAATTCGACTCCCAGCAAGATCAGCCCATTGGCCTTCTTGCTTTGAGCCGGTCACCAATAGGCTACTCTTACTTTGAGCTGGTCAATTATGTACAACCTAGACTGGTTTAACTCCTTTGAGCCGGGCAGCTATGGACAACCTAGACTGGTTTAACTCTTTGTGCCGGTCAGCTATGGACAACCTAGACTAGTTTAACTCCTTTGTACCGACCTAGACTGGTTTAACTCCTGCGAACCGGTCAGCTATGGACAACCTAGAATGGTTTAACTCCTTTGACTCGGTCAGCTATGGACAACCTAGACTGGTTTAACTCCTGCGAGCCGGTCAGCTATGGACAACCTAGACTAGTTTAACTCCTTTGAGTCGGTCAGCTATGGACAACCTAGACTGGTTTAACTCCTGTGAGCCGGTCATCTATGGACAACCTAGACTAGTTTAACTCCTTTGAGTCGGTTAGTTATGGACAACCTAGGCGGGTCTAACTCCTGCTAGCTGGTCAGTTATGGATAACCTGGTTTATCTCCTTGGATCTTTTGCCACTGGGGTCTTCCATCGTCATCCAAAAAAAGGAAAAATGAAACCAGAAACAGAACTGAGAACAAAGAGAATGTACAAACCAAAGCAAGACGAATAAAATTGGATCGTATAACCTCCTCCGTAGCATCATAGTCCACTTCCAATATCCGATAATAATCCTAAAACCAAACACATTCACCATTTTCAAAACCCACAGATACTCATAACAATCACTCACAACCCACGGAAATGGAACAAATTTTGAAGTAAAGAAGACAATAGAGTAAAAACCATTTAACAATCCGTAGGAAATAGCCAACAAGAACTGAAAAAATTCCATCTTTATTATATAAAACAAAAAATACCTTAGGCTGAGAAACAAGAGATAAGAAATCGAAGTTGAGGTTAGAGGAAGAAGAGCCTTCCTCCCTGTCTTGTCGTTGTTCTTGAGCATCGTATTCGTACTCTTCTATGTTTTTCTGTTCCTGGATACCTTCTGCCCATTCATCCCACATCATGTCTTCCCCCCCACCCAAAAAAAATCAGTTCGGAAAGAGGCGTGCGTCTCGGCCGTCGGCGGCGGCGGCGAAGCAGGGTGGAGGGGATGGGTTTATCCGATTATTAATCGTAATTTGTAAACAAGAGAATGGTGAAAATTTGTTGATTTTAATGCTGGGAGAATTATGGAATGTTGTATTCCAGGATAATGCAGCGAGTAATTAGGGATGACGAGGAAACACAAAATTGGAGATGTTTGTGGATTCGGATTCTGGCTTTTCAAGGGTTTTTTTTTTTTTTTTTTTTTTTTCCTTTTTTGGGTATTTTGTATTTTTTCGAAGAAATGAGATTGATGTGTTACCACGAATGTACTGTTTGGTCAGGACACTTGTCTATTCCGTAGTGCTTATCTTCTCTCTTTTTTTCTTTTTCTTTTGAAAAGAATATCACTTTTTATTTCCGGATTATTGTGTATGTATCAAATTTGGTTATTAATTATTAATATTTTTAAGTTAGGTGCATGACTATATAATTGGTATTAAATTTGATCATGTTATCTAATTTTTTGGTTAATTATTGTTAAAATTTCAACGAGAAAAATAATTTTTTGACAATATTTGATTGAAAATATTCTTTTAATTAGAATATATTATTTTTATCGTTGAAATTCCTGCAATATTTGTCCATAAACTTGGCCAAAAAATTAAACAGTATGATTAAATGTGTTACAAATTACATAAGCATGCACCTAATTTTAAAATAATAAGAGTTAAGGATCAAATGTGATAGATACAAATTACATAGTCATTCACTTAATTTGAAAATATTAATAGTCAGTGGTTAAATTTGAGACATGTACAATAGTCTAGGACTAAAAGTGAATATTTAGTATTTTCTTGTTTTTTTTTTTTTTGTTTGAAAACTTATTCTCTCCTTTCAATAATGAAAAAAGGTAGTAGTTGAGGCAAACAATAATTCTGAAAAAAAAAAAATTATTATTAATCAGTTCAATCTATAAAGTATAAGAACATATATATTTATAAAAATGCAAAGAGTATTACTCAAGTTAGGGATAATAAAAGGTAACTTCACAATAATATTGAGAAAATGAGAAGGAATTCTAATGTAACTAGAATACAAAGTCCTAATACGCCCGCTCAAGCTTAATGTTCTCTAGAGAGAACATTGAGCATGTCGCTTAGATCATTGAACCTTATTGTGGTTAGTGACTTTGTGAAAATGTTTGTTAGTTGGGTCTTTTATAAGTCGTGGTATTGTGTGGGATTGTCATATGGCTTATATGAGTTTGTTGCACTTAATTTGTTGTTTATTGGAATCGGAGTAGGGATTGACCTGCATTGTTATATTCCATATCTTTTGAGTATTTCAAGCATGTTCCTTCGTTGTGACAAGACCATCGCCCCCTTGTTGTAATCTGTTTCGATTCCTAATAAGAAACTTGGAGTTCTCATATCTTGAATTTTAAAATTTCAAACTAATATGCTTGTTATGGAAGCCAATAGACTTTCGTTGCTACTCATTATTAGAATGGTATCGACATAGACAAGTACATAAATTTAAACATTAGCAGCATAATAGATAAACAATGATACATTAGTTTTAGATATATCAAAACAAATTGAGAGGAGATAGTCATGAAAACGCTTAAACCATGCATGTGGTGTTTGATTCAAATCATATAGAGACTTTTGTAATTTGCAGACATGAGTATAAAAATTGTTGTAAATATACCCTAGTGGTTAGCAAGAGATAAGAAAAATCATAGTGTAGTTGGTTTAACCATTGGGCTGAAAGCATCAAAATAACATCTCCTTCAATTTGATTTAATCATTTTGCAACAAGTATGGATTTGTATCGTTCAATTATCCCATCAATTTGTCTCTTGATTCGAAAAACTCATTTGCATCCAACGACATTCATATCTTGTTCATGTGGAACCAGCTTTCAAGTTTATTGTGTAGGAGAGCATTGAATCCTTCGTAAATTGTTGTTTGTCACTCAAGACTATTTACAGCTTGGGAGTGACATATAGGTTCGGAGTCATCAATGTATGCCATTAGAGCTTTGTTACTTGTGGAGTCACGAGTCATGTGTCGGAGGACCATAAGATGTATGTTGAGTTGAGGGTGGTGGTTGAAGTCACTCAAGCATGGAAAGAACAGTTAGAGAGTGATTAGGAGGAAAAATTGTCGTGGTGGGGGGAGATTGGCGATACAGTCGTGTCATGGACGTGTTCCCTTTTGGAATGTTGACACGGTCGTGACATGTTGACGACACACCTGTGTTGATTTTTAGCAAGTTGTTATGCTTGGTGTGTTGATGCATAGCATTGCATCTCGAGCATGAGTAAGACATGTGGAGGCTTTGTAACTGCAAAAAGAAAAATATTCTCGTCAACTTGGGTATGGGGAACTGTAAGAATTTTTCTAATATTGGGGGTCAAACAATAATATCCTCTGAAATTTATTATTGAGAAATAATAAGTATTTTTTTTCATGTATCATAAATTTATTATTTGAACTATGTAATATATATATATATATATATATATATATATATATATATATATATATATATATATATTGTATACAACTTTTCGCAAAAATTAAAGTTTTGATTTGATAATTGGATTAACAGTTGATGAGGCCATGGGACTCCCTTTTCTTTTGAGAAAGTCTTAACCCAAATGGAGGTGGTGAGGGAAAGAGGTTAAAGAGGTTGGTCCAAATCTTGTTAGGCTAGAAGGGCATGGTAGCCCAAACAGGATTGCTTGGAGCAAAAGGCTAAAGGGAGAAGTAACCAAATAGAATCGAACCCAGGCGGGCTGGGGGTGTCCCATAGGGGCGCCGTCGCCCCCCTGAAAGTGGGGCGCAGTATTGAAGCCCTACATGTGCATGGCGACTAGGAGTGGCAACTGTGTGCATGCATGGCAACTAGGGGGTGGCGACTGGCTTCCCTACATGGGGGTGGCGACTGGTGTGCAAGGTAGGATGCAAGGCAATGCAAGACAAGGCCCAGGAGGAAGGGGTGCTAGGAGCAGGGGCGGAGACGGGATTTATTGGTGCGGGGGGCCGATCACCGCGGTTGCGGTCGTCAACTGAGGAAACAAAAGAAAGGATTTAGGCATTTAGCTATCATTTAACTACTACAAAAGAGAAGATTTAGGCATTTAGCTATCATTTAACTACTACAATATCTAAACTTTTTGTTGGTGTGAGGACGGATGAATCCATCTCTAATAAAGAATAATTCATAACAAAAATTCAAAGATTTCAAGAATAAAAAAAGTAATTGTTAAGTACGATTTTATTATCGTTAAATTACATTTCTCGGGTAGATTGTAAACTAATATGAAAAATGTGTTGTGCATTTGTGAGTTGTGACGGAGATGGATTTGGAATCAAAGGGGAGAAAGAATATCCTAGTGTTGAAGTACCCAAGGGAAAATACAATAAACTCCCTATCTAAAATCTTGCCATGCCTGTGATTCTCAATTTCTCATCAAATACCATACCCCAATTCGGCCCCACCGTACCTCATTGTCTTTTCACTCACATTTTTTAAATTTTATTTTTTTAATGACTAGAAACTCAATAACTCACAATCATTATTTGAAGGGAAAATGACACTTTTTCCCCCTTTGTTATATACTTATAGTACTTTTTCCCCCTAAATTATTTAAGTGGCAGTTTTTCCCCCTGATATATTAAATGGACATATTTACCTTTAAAATAAATATTTCATTTATTTTTCTTCTCCAACAAATTATAACCACGATTTGAAAAAATAAAATATATTAAGTGTTGAATTTAGAATATTTTAAAAATAAAAAAATAAAATTTTAAAAGAAAGTTTGAACCAACCATTCAAATTGAATCCAAAATCGTGAACCGACAGTTCAAAATAAAACTCAAACAGCGATTATATATACTTATATGTGAGAGTCAATATAAATGCGGAAAAAAACATACACTATTTGTAAATATTATAATTCTAATTATAATTCTAATTTAAGCTATTGCTAGTAATTGTTCCGATTTGAACCTCCGGTTCACGGTTTAGGATCCATTTTTTTCCAGTTCACGATTTTAATAAACGGAAACCCAAATATTGGGTTATGTTATGAATCATAACCGAAATTTTTTAATTTGATTGCTATAGTGTTTGGTTCAGTTCGAACCGAACCGTGGTCATCCCTACGTATAAGCAATAATTTGTTGAAGAAGATAAATAAATAAAATATTTATTTTAAGGGTAGAAATGTCCATTTAATATTATCAGGGGGAAAAACCGCCACTTCTATAATAATTGAGGGGGCAAATGTGAATGCATGAATAACTCAGGGGGAAAAAGTGCTATAAGCATATAATACAGGGGGAAAAAGTGTCATTTCCCCTTATTTGAATATATACCCTATATAAATTTAATTTTTTTATTTTTTATTTTTTATTCAAGTACTAGTAATTCTGTTACAATACAATATCTGTTCATAATTACTTTTTCAACCTATTGAAGCACAAAAAATTTCATACCGAAACTCAAACCATAACCTCTCATATAAGAGAGCAACTTGGTACCATTGGACCATAATATTAAAAAATTAATAATAAATATTATGCAAATCACAATAGAAATATTATGCATAAAAAACTCAACCGATATGATGTTTCTTTAAAAAAAAAATCAATAATAAATATTGATTAGATTAATTTTATACAAAATGAAAATATCAATGTAATCTTAACTATAATAAAGCTAAATGGTTTGGGAAGTAATTAATGTTACAATTAATGCCACAACATCCTTTATTATATAAAAAAAAACACAACATTTGAAAAATAAAATATTTATATATTATATAATTATATAAAAAATGTATTTTTGAAAAATAAAATAGCTATATATTATATAATCATATAAAAAATGTGTTCAATTAGAGTTTAAATTTACTCATACAAAATCTGAAATTTGCTTTTCAAATGTAATTATCTTAGTTATTATTCGTATTGTGAAAATTATAATATAGATGAAATACAATTAAGAATAAATCAATGTAATTATGTAAATTCTCTCTATAAGTTTATTTGAATATGCACATAATAAGATATTATATTAACCATACAAAATTTTAATTTGAATTTTAATTGTAATTTTTTATTCTATAAAAATAATAAATACTTGACCAATGGAAGCTCAAAAATATTATTATATTAAACAATTTAAAATATTTTAGTTTTTCTATTTTTATTTATATTTATAATAACATAATTTTTTCCCCTGCATCGCGCGGGTGAATTACTAGTATTTAAAAAATCACACGTAAAACAATGTATAAAATATTTGATTTTTAAAAAAACTAACTAAAGTACCATATAATAATTTTAATAAAGTTATATATCTAATTGCATTCATTTAACGAATATATATATTATCATCACGCTTTATTCACTAATTAAATTAAAAAAAAAAAAAAACTAAATACAATTTAAGTTATGTTATTTATGTCTTTACTTAATCATTGCTCGTTGAGTTTAATTCCTAGAACAGTTAATTTGCATACGTATACATTAGCATCGTTAGTATTTGATCAGGATCATTCTATGTATTGAGACTTGGTCCCTCCTGACCATGATTGCAAAAATTGCGCATAGGCGCTAGGCGGCTGCCGACCGCTGCGAGGAAGGCCGGTCGGCCGGTTCGACCGTTTTTTAATTTTAATTTTTATTGTTTTTTAGTTTTAAAGTGTTAACAGTTCGGGAATGCATAACTTTTGACTCGGTTGTCTGTTTTGGACAATTTTTTTTTTCAAATCCCGTATTTTTTCGAGATCTATACACTGTTGAAGGCGGGTTGGCCCCCTAATTTCTCCAAAAAATGCTTCTTTTGCTCTTAATTTTAATTTTTTATGTATTTAGGTGGTTTCAACAATATTCAAAATAATTTTACAACCACTTATGTAAATAATTTGTAAGAAAAAACTAGAGGAACTATGTCTTATTAGTGAATTTCATAATTTTTAATTTTAATTTTTTTATTTTTTTAAAAATAAAAAATCGGCGCCCTAGGCGCTAGGCCGCAAACGTTTTTTTGCAACCTTGATCCTGAATCTATTACTATGTTCATTCATTAATAGATTGTTTAAAAAAAAAAAAGTTATGTTAGCTAGAATGTTGACTTGATAACCACAAAATAAAAAACTCAGCTCTAAATGAAATCAGCATTTGAATATGATGGTCACGAATTCATCAGTAATTCAGCAGACAGGATCAAATATCGTTGTGTACAAGGAATCTGTCTACTTTATTAGTAGTTCAGCAGGCATGACTAAATATCGTTGTGTACAAGGAATATGTTTATTTTTAACATAATTTTCACACTGTCGCTACTGAAATTTGAATATTAATCTTTTTTTCTAAACACTATCTACTTAACCAATGAGTTAAGTTCACGCAACAAGCGTAAGGGTGTAAATGAATTGAATTGAGTCAAAATCTTGCTATTCGATTCGATTCGAATTCAACTATTTTGAAAATTATTCGTATTCGTATTTGATAAATATTTAAATTTAAAATTTTATTCGTATTCGATTTGACTACATTATTCGAATATATTCAATTCAACTCAAAAATTTAAATTTGATTTTTGAATTTAATTAAAAATATTTGATTTGTTTACACATCTAGTCATGAATCATGATCAATTTTTTGGGTGGTAAATTTTTTCGATATATGCTTACTATATATAAACAATTTATTTGTCTTCTCTGTGGCGTCAACCTAACTCAGGGCAACAGCATCCTAGTAGTAGTTGAACGGTTGTAGTGTTGTACTACGAACAAAATCATAAAAATCATCAGAATTCAATGGCTTCTCCACTTCCAATGGCCTAAAAGCCACAGACCTCGTTAGCATCGCGTTTCTTTCTTACTCAGATTATTGAAGGGCCATTTGTGATCTCGAGAATTACAGGAACAACGATCATGGCTGCTGCTTCCTCAGTCTCGGTTGCATTCAAGCCCGAAATCAAATCCATCCCAGCTCCCGTCGCCCAATCCCCATTCCAGAAGCCCTCGGTTTCTCTTTGCAAGTACAAGCTCCGATTCCGGGCGCAGTCGGTGGCGCGTGAGGTTCCCGCCGGAGTATCGGCGGCGTCCGGGAACAACGATGTGGTTCCGAAGTCGAAGGCGGAGGGGATAGTGAAGGATCCGCGGCAGCTGTGGAAGAGGTACGTGGATTGGCTGTACCAGCACAAGGAGCTGGGGTTGTACTTGGACGTGAGTCGGGTCGGGTTCAGCGACGATTTCGTTGGCCAGATGGAGCCCCGGCTTCAGAAGGCGTTCAAAGATATGGAGGCGCTGGAGAAAGGCGCGATTTCCAATCCCGATGAGGGGCGTATGGTCGGCCACTACTGGCTCCGGAGCCCCCACCTCGCTCCCAACTCATTCCTCCGCCTGCAGATCGAGAACACTCTAGAAGCCGTTTGTAAGTTCGCCGACGACGTCGTCGGCGGTAAGGTCAGTTGTCTCACCTCTTTTTCATCTACTGATTCTAGTCAACGCATTGAATTTCCTCTTCTTTGTTATTCCTAACGGTTTAATGATCTTTTAGCATGCTCACTAAAGGAGAAATTCCCTAACCCTAGGCCCCACATCTCGGCATGACTTATTTTAAACGTGATGATAAGAAGCTGTCATGTGGATTTGGGAAATTTGTGTGATTGGGAGTTGTGAATAACAGAGAATCTTACACTGGAAAACTTATATAATATTTTGTGTTATAAAGATATGTTTTTGGAACAAGATTGAGGTGATTCTCCTATAAGAATTGTAATAGAATGATCTTGAATGTTTAAACATGCTGCATTTTCTTCTGTCTTGGTCTAGAATTGGAAATTGTTTGTTTTATGATTATAATTTAACTAAGATTTTGGCACTTTGAGTGCAGATCAGGACTCCTTCCGGTGGCCGATTTACTCAAATTCTTTCGGTTGGAATTGGTGGTTCAGCACTTGGACCACAGTTTGTTGCCGAGGCTTTGGCACCTGACAACCCTCCTCTGAAGGTAATTGGATAAGCGTTCGAAGCCATATATGGATGTTTTGAAAATCTGTCACTTTACTTCCCATCTTTCCCCCCTCTCGAAACGCACACATCTTGCAAAATACTTTATGAAAGTATTAGTCTTGGCTACTTCCTTTCATGAATGTGTAATGTTCCCCCGATGTGATAATGGTATTTACTCTTTATTGTCTTGTTACTCAGTTGTGCTTTGCGATCCTATTGACAGATAAGATTCATTGACAACACTGATCCAGCTGGCATTGATCATCAAATAGCGCAACTTGGGCCAGAGCTGGCATCGACACTTGTTATAGTGATTTCAAAGGTATGCATGGCTATGTTCTCCAATTCCCTTGTTGTTGCTCGGTATTTGATTGAAGTGTTGGGCCTTTACTGTTTTTTTCCTTCTCAATCTACCCAGAGTGGAGGCACCCCTGAAACTAGAAATGGTCTACTAGAAGTACAGAAGGCCTTCCGTGAGGCTGGCCTGGAATTCGCAAAACAGGTTTTGATCTCAGGTTCTTGTTTTTGCTTTCATTTATTCTCTTTATTCATCAATAGGTACTCGTGTTTACGTAAAAGCAAGGTAAGATTGTGAACCGTGGTTCTGGTTTAAGAAGAATCACTGATTATTTGAAAGGCATCTTTGTTCTTTAATAACTTCTTGATGTTCTTTGTATGATTGATGGATTCAAGTCTCAATTCCCCAGCCCCTCCAAAAGAATAAATAAACTAATTTTTTTCTACTGTCATTATTGCAAATTACAATTTCAAGCTCTCTTAGAAATGAGAATCAATTCTGTTCACTGGCAGGGAGTTGCCATTACGCAAGAGAATTCATTGCTTGACAACACTGCCAGAATTGAGGGTTGGGTTGCTAGATTTCCTATGTTTGATTGGGTGGGTGGAAGAACTTCTGAAATGTCTGCTGTTGGTTTGCTTCCGGCTGCGCTTCAGGTTTGTGATATCTGGACACTTCGATTCTACGAATTCTTCCAAAACTCTCATTCTCATGATTTCTTGGTTATATCATTCCAGGGAATTAACATACGAGAGATGCTTGCTGGCGCTGCATTAATGGACGAAGCAAATAGGACTACTGTGGTACGACGACTTCCGTATCATTTCTTTTTTCCAAATTATGTTTTTTAATGCTATTCTTCCTATTCTTATAAGTATGCATAGTAGGAAATATTTAATTCTTGTTTGGAGATAATTGGGATTAATTTTGTGCACTTCAGGTCCGCAATAACCCTGCAGCACTTCTTGCTCTATGTTGGTATTGGGCAACCGATGGAATAGGATCCAAGGTTCATAGTACTTCAGTTTTAATTATTTAACGGCTTTGGAGGCAGTATTTTTTGTGACTTTTTTAAGTAACACGATATACTTTGTGATGTGGCTTACACAGGATATGGTTGTTCTTCCTTACAAGGATAGCCTATTACTGTTCAGTAGGTATTTACAGCAGCTGGTTATGGAGTCGCTTGGCAAAGAATTTGATCTCGATGGTAATCGGGTATGTTTCTCTTCATGCGCAGAAACTAATACAGTTTATACAGTTAATGATAAGAAGAAAGACAACTATATTCTAAGCTTTTATAGATGTCTGATTTATATTTTATGTATCAGAGGAATTATATAAGCAAATACATAGTTTACTGTTTAGTTCATGGATTTATGCTTGTCTTCTACTCTATCACATACAGGTGAATCAAGGGATCACAGTCTATGGAAACAAAGGAAGCACAGATCAGCATGCGTAAGTATAGGTTTGATATCTGTTGTTTGTATATATATATATATATATATATATATATATATATATATATATATATATATATATATATATATATATATATATATGTGGAGTCATCTCTTAGTTATATGCTTAAATATTTCGTATTTTCAGTTACATCCAACAACTGAGAGAGGGTGTGCACAATTTCTTTGTGACGTTTATCGAAGTACTGCGCGATAGGCCCCCGGGTCATGATTGGGAACTTGAACCTGGTGTCACTTGCGGTGACTATCTTTTCGGAATGTTACAGGTTCGTTCTAGCTATTTGTTGGTTTCCTCCTGGTCCCCATTTTCTTCTCTTTTGGGTTCGTTTTTCGGAATGCTATCATATCTCGGGAGTTGGATAGTTTTATAGAAAAGCTGGTACGTATACATACTATTATTGTTATGTAGGGAACGAGGTCAGCTCTGTATGCCAATGACCGAGAGTCTATCACGGTGACTGTACAAGAAGTGACACCTAGATCCGTCGGAGCCCTAGTAGCACTCTATGAGCGAGCTGTTGGGATTTATGCTTCACTTGTCAATATTAACGCTTACCATCAACCGGGTAAAACATTCTCACCATCAATATTTATGCTTCACTTCTCATTTGCTCTCTTCCTCTCTCGCCCCGTTTAGATAACCGTTAAAATTGAATGCGATATCAGGTGTAGAAGCAGGTAAAAAAGCCGCGGGAGAAGTTCTAGCCCTACAAAAGCGTGTTCTTGCAGTACTTAATGAAGCCAGGTATTCGGGCATTTCGAATGACGCCATGTGTACTATAATTCTTTAATGTTGAGACTGACTGGATGTTATGATAACTTCTTCCTGCAGCTGCAAAGAGCCAGTTGAACCGTTAACGTTGGAAGAAATTGCTGACAGATGTCACGCCCTCGAAGATGTACAAACTGTCCCCCTTTTATGTCTGTGATTTATTCCTTTATTTATATTGCTGACCCCCTGCCCGCTCTTTTCCTTTGATATTTCAGATCGAAATGATCTACAAGATAATCGCGCACATGGCAGCCAACGACAGAGCTCTGATCGCTGAAGGTAACTGTGGTTCACCTCGAAGCGTCAAAGTTTTTCTGGGCGAGTGCAATGTCGATGAGTTGTATGCCTAGTTCACTAGTTAAACACGCCTGAAATAAAAAGAAAAAATCGATTTTTTAGACTTTAGAGCCCCTCCCTCGTTCCTCTATTCCAGAGTCGTTGAATGCTATGCTATCCCTGTCAATCAATTTTCAATGAGCAACACATACTCTTTCTTTCTTTCTTTGTCTTTTTTTGTTTTTGGTTTGATTGCGTTGCCCCCGCTCCCTCTGTTTTGGAAGAGCATAAAGAGAATATCGGCCCCGAGATTGTTCATTGACCTCAACTGTTATTGTCAGGCCAGCAGGAATTTGATGTTTGTGAATCTTTGATAAATATCTGGTTTGTTACTTTCCAGGCTTTGTTGTGTTGGCTCGATCTATGTTTGTATGCTTCTTTGTGTTAACTGTTACTTTCTTGGTCCTTCTCCCATTGCCATGGCAATGGGTCAGTCTAATTCATGGTTCTTATTGTGGGATGGAGACCTGGGAATCAGTATGAACTGTGAACCAGATTTCCAATCAGTATGAATTGATTGATTAGTCTGGTTTCAATTCATACCGTTGATTGTAGAAATGTTTTTGGTAAATTAGCTGATAGCTGTTTGGTATTTCTTTTCTCAAAAAGGTTTGGTATTTCTTTTCTCAAAAAGTTAAGTGAAAAAATTGTTTTGAACAGTTTTTTAAATTTTAGCATTTTGAAGTTACAAAACGCTAATTAACCAAACACTTATATTGATTTTTTAATTAAGTCAAACAATTAATAATGGTCAAATAAGTTAAAATTGGTTGATAGGCTAACTGTTTTACCAAATAGGCCAATATGTATTCACAAAAATATTACATTTTTATTTAAAAAGTATTATACGTTTTACATAGAGATGGTCTTACACATTACTTGTTTTAACATAATATATACTCTTGTTGTGCATTGATTAGATGGAAGTAGAATAAAAATTGGGAAAATATTATGTTTACTCTCATTTTCTGCTCTTAACTTTTATTTCCACGCATTGTAGACATCTGTATTGAGATTCACATAAAAAAATAATAATAATAATAAATAAATAAAAAAAAAAAAAAACTTATCATTGCCTAGTGCCTGTCACATTAGAGAGTAAATTTTAAGCTAAGATCTTATGCTCAGTGGAAGTGATGTTGACTTTTTGTGCTTCAACAAATTGAGAAAGTATGAATGAACAAATAGTACAATGTAATAAAGTCATTAATATTCAAAAAAAAAAAAAAAGTAAACTTTTAAGGAGTAAAATTCGAGAGTTCATATAGTAAACTCTAAAAATTGAATGTGATTTTGAGTTGGTGGTTTAAATGGATAACTTGGGCAATATGGCCTCACGTTTTATTCTTCAATTATTATATTGTGAATCAAGATTTACCATGAACATTAACAGCACGTTTGGTTCACGGAATGAATTTTGAGCGTGAATTTTGAGGTAATAGAAATACTATTCCATAAGGAATGGAATATGCAAAGAATATAATAAGAATTGTATTCTATTGTTTGGTTCGCGGAAGGAATAGACTTTAGGAATTATATTACAATGTTTTGTTGATTTAAGGAATAGAAATGAAATATGTTTTAAAAGACATAAATACCTTTATAAAAATCTGTGATGGTGGCGATGGTGGTGACGGTGACGGTGGCGGTGGCGGTGATGATGGTGGTGGTGGTGGCGGTGGCAGTGGTGGGAGCGACGGTGGTGGTGGTGACGGTGACGGTTGTGGCAGTGGTGGTGGGGGCGGTGACGGTTGTGGCGGTGGTGGTGGTGGCGGCAGCGGCGGCGGCGATGGTGGTTGTGGTGCTAGGGTGGTAGTAGTGGCAGTGGCGGTGGCAGTGGTGGGGGCGGCGACGGTTGTGGCGATGGTGGTGGTGGTGGCGGCGGCGGTGGTGATGGTGGTGGTGGCGACGACGGTGGTGAAATAGGATAAATTTATATATAGGATAAAAAAATTAGGTTAAAGAAAGGGGTAAAAAAAAGAAAATAGATTCTAAAATATATTCCTGAGCGTTCAGTAATAGAATAATACCAGGGCCCCTAGTAATAGCTATTACCCTATTTGAGGTAATAGGCTATTACCAGGAATATTATTCTTGGTAATAGAAATGGTTGTCAAACAAAGGAATAAGCCTATTACTTGGAATGCTATGTCATTTATGTCCTATTCCGTGAACCAAATAGGCCATAAGAATAATGATTTAATATTGAATATACATAATTTGTTAACATAAAGTATATAATATATTGATTGTATGTATATAATTTGAACCAATGTTTATAATATACATAGTAGATTATGGTTTATGCATTTTCATGGATGAACGGTAAATATAATAGGATGAAAGAATATACAAGATACATTTGACATACTCCGGCGCTCACCAAGATAAATAACATGTACAATCATTATCAACAAAAAGGTTAGACAAAAAGAAGCACAAAGTTCCATGACAAAAATAAATAAATAAATAAAAATGGAGCTATTGCTCAAAAAGGAGTTAATACCCAAAATAGTCCCTCGACTATGTCGTAATTACCAATTTAGTCCTCGACTATCATTCTTACCCAATTAAGTCCTCAACTATACAATTTTTACCCAATTTAGTCCTTTGTCAATTTGACTGTTTGTTGACTGTCAAAAGTGGAAATAAAGTTGTAATTTTACAAGTTTTCTCCTTCCTCCTCATTTAGCAGCGCCAAACCATGTAGCAATAAGCTCCGGTTGGGTTCTAAACCTGTCGGTATCGAAGTAGTGATTATGCATCGGATAGCCCATTGATTTCCAACGATTTTTTGACGATCGAAATATGATCGGAGTGTATTCCTGCATGGTTTGGCGCTGCTAAATGGAGAGGAAGGAGAAATTTTGTAAAATTATAATTTTATCCCGACTTTTGACAGTTAACAAACAGTCAAATTAATACAGAGGACTAAATTGGGTAAAAATTGTATAGTTGAGGACTAAATTGGGTAAGAATTGTATAGTTGAGGACTTAATTGAGTGTTACATAGTTGAGGACTTAATTGGGTAAGAATGATAGTTAAAGACCAAATTGGTAATTATGACATAGTTGAGGGACCATTTTGAGTATTAACTCCTCAAAAAGTAACCATATCATGTAGGCATAAAGCCAAAAAACAAAAAAACAAAAAAAAAATTGTAAACACTAGTCTTAATCCCTATCACTCTTGTGTCGCCTCATTTATCCGATCTTGAAGAAGGTGAACCTGCCGTCACCTATCTTCCAGTCTCCAGTAGCATTGTGGAATTAGGCATTTGGTTAGGAAAAGGAAATTACGGAAGAAAATGATTTGTAATTCCGTACAATTGAAGTAACCTTTCTTTGATGTTCTGAATTGAAATTACTATGGAGAGTGTATGAATTACAATTTCATAAAAGGAGGGTATTGTAATTTTCTCTAGCAAGGTAATTTCACTAGCCACCTTCTTTAGGGCATTACTATTAGTAAGGATAGAGGTGATAAAAGGGTTTATATTACGGGGTTCATGAAAATGGGCAAATTATGTTGTGTAACCGTGTGCATCATGTTGTAAAAACGGCGTCGTTTTACTTTTAAAAAAAAAATCATTTTTGATTGCCGTTAGTTACGTAAACACATGTACATAATTTTATAATTTCACATTCAGAATGTATATAGTTATTAAGTTATGTGTGTGTAGTTTTGCAATTTTAAATGTATAGTTATGTAGTTATAATTTCACATTCTGAATGTATAGTTATGAAGTTATGGATGTGTAGTTATGTAATTCTGAATGTATAGCTATGAAGTTATGGATGTGTAGTTATGCATGCAATTCTGAATGTATAGTTATAAAGTTATGAATGTGATGTTATGCAATTCTGGATTTATAGTTATGAAGTTATGGATGTGTAGTTATGAAGTTATGAATGTATAGTTATGAAGTTATGGATGTATAGTTTAAATTCTGCACAACAGAACACCGTTAACGACAATCGAAATTGATTTTTTTTTTTATTTAATTTGGACGTCAAAACGACATCGTTTTTGCAACCGTGTGCACTATGCATAACACTCCATGAAAATGCATAAATTATATGAATTCTAATTCCACAAAAGGAGGTCCGGGAGCCAAGGCTGATTACTAATGTTAGTAGATTTCCCATCTGCAATGCATATAGTACAACCCTCCATAAGAAGATTTTGGGTAGCCAAGAGCCCGAGATAGAACAACGCCAAAAGAAGCTCGGATTAGACCCAATCTTAACTTGAAAAACAAAAAAAATTGTCTATGGGAAAGTACTGGGCTTTATATAATTTGGAGACAAGAGAATCCAGATTGGTAATGAATCTCCAACCTTTCTTAGCAAGGAGAGCCACATTGAACAAATGGAATCTTTTGAATCCCAGCCCGCCATAGTGTTTTGGACCACACATTCTTTCCCAAGATAGCTCGTGAAGGTCAATCATTATTATGTGGAACAATGATCCACACAAGTTGTGTGGACCATATTTTGCATATTGTAAAATAATGTATATTTAGTACACAAATAATAATGTACATTTAGTATATTAAAAATGTACTTTTAGTTATGGTCTACATAACATTGTGTGGACTATGGTCCACACAATAATTTGCCCGTGAAGGTCGCTTTCTTCAAATGAGTTTAATTGTACTATTTTAATGAATTTAAATTTAAATGTGTAATTGAAATTTGTAAAGTTCAAGAGTTTATAGCGTATTTGGTACATCGTAATTGCAATTCTTTTGCAATGTAATTTTTTTGGCTAGTGAAATTACCTCCTTTTGTGAAAATGTAATTCATACACTCTCTATAGTAATTCCAATTCAGATCATCAGGGAAATGTTACTTCATTTGTACGAAATTACAATTCATTTTCTTCTGTAATTTCCTTTTCCGAACCAAATGCCTAGTAAATCGTTGTTTTCAATAATAGTTGATGTGTTTATTTAACACTTTTTCCCAATAAAAAATGTTTTTGATTACTAAACATTATATTTTATGATGTATGTTATTATGTGGTCATGCATCCATTCTTAATTGTGGTATTATATGAGGAATTATTCTCAAATTTTACTCCACCAATTATTCTCTCTAATGTGGCAAGTATGAATATGACATCTTTATATTGTGAATTCAAAAAAAAAAAAAATTATCTACATCTAAGATTTGTGAGAATGAACAACCACATCAGTGGTTTTAGCTCAGATTTTAAGAAAGAAAAAACAATACATAATTTTTAGACTAGTGTGAGATTTTTTTTTTTTTTTTTTAATTTTCTCTTCCAATACAAGTTTTTTTGTGGGTCCATCATGACAATTAAAATTTCAATC